AAAGAAAGAAAGAAAGAAAGCATCACAAAAGAGAGAAGGGAAGGAAAGCTGACAACCAAGGGCTAGGAGGACGAGAAGCGTCACCTCAAAGCGAGCAATGAAGTCCTTCAGGTTAGGGAACGCCTCCAGGCACTTGGGATCAAATATGCGGTGCAGGTCAAGTATATCATAAGCGAGGAAATCCACGTAGGTGATCTGCAGAGAGCAGAGGATGGGTGTGGTAGGAATTCTATAGCCTGGGAAGAAAAGAAAGAATGACAACACCCAACCCTTTCTGCTTTACCTTGTCACCAACGAACCACTGCTGTTTCCCTAGGAAGTCAGAGAAGAGCTTCATCTTCCCAGGGAGTTGTTCCAGGTACTCAGGCCTCAGTTTCTCCTAGGGAAGAAAACAGTTGCCACCACCTTCACATACAACAAGTTCCTCGGCAGAGAGGCCAGGTTTTGCTGGACCTGCTCATAGCCCCAGCTGGACAGGTGAGGAGCCATCTTCCAAGACTGGAACTGGGTTGGTGCCCACACTGTGATTTCATACATCAGAGCTTATTAGACTAGTACTTGATACTTGATCCCATCCTTCTGAGGGGACAGGAAGTCAGAAAGACCCGGTAAACTATCACCACTCATATCCCAAACTTGGAAGCCAGCTATGAGCACCCGAGCACTTGGCTGGTTTTGGACTTGATGTTAAGTAGAATAAAAAAAAAAAAACTCCGGGGAATAAGATGATAGTTCTTCCTAGTAGGTTCTAGAAGAATGAAACACATATTGTAGGGTTTTTTCTACCAAATTGAGGAGTATTTGAGGTAGAAAAGGACAGGGAAGAACAGAGGTGCTGTGGATGACCCTGAGCTGTTGATTAATTTAACTGTTGAGTCATGCTGCTGGGAAGGCACAGCTCTGGGACACAAGAGGGCAGCGGTTGGAACCCAAGGGTTCTAATCCTGCTAAGGGTTCCACTGTCAAGGGTTCCACGACATAAGTGAAGTCTTTATAGCATCTATGTTTAAATATCATCTTCCATTTGTACTTTACCTTTATGGTCTTTTAACATATAGTTCTCTTTCTCTTCTCTCTCTCTCTCACTGGGAAATGAACCAAGGCCCTTCGCACTGAGCTAACCCCCCATTCTTTTTATTTTTTATTTTGAGGTAGGGTCTTACTAAGTCTTCAAGTTACCCCAGCCAGGCTGGAACTCATGATCATTGTGCCTCAGCCTCCCAGAGTGCTGGAATTATAAATATGTACCACATTACCTGGCTTAATAGTGTCTTTTGAAAGATAAACATTTTTAAGTTTAATGTGTAGCAAGTTATCAAATTTAGTTTTATGAGCATTGCTTTTCTAAGAATACAAAAATCACAAATTTGTTCTTTTGTTCTTCTAGAAGTGTTAATATTTTGTATATTATACATGCATCTTTCAAGAATTTGAATAAATTTTTAGATTGGACTTCAAAAAAAAAAAGAAAAGGGGCTGGTGAGATGGCTCAGTGGTCTAAAGCACCTACTTAGAACAAGCTTAGCAAAGCACAGGGACTGCAGTTCAGTCCCCCAGCACCACATGCCAGCCAGCCCTGCCCCCTGGTAGGCTGAGCTGACCACACACACACAAAGAAATAAATAAATAATTTTTTTTAAAAAAAGAAAAGGGTTCCACAACAGTCCTTCACCTCAGGTTCCTTTTCCTCCTAGGCTCAGTATGCCTGATCATGAGTAGACAGATGGTGTGAAAGAGGTGGGAGAGGACCCAAATCCAGAGGTACAAGTTGAAGGGAAGTACGTACAAAGACTATACTTGGGAAACTCCCCACCCTGAGGAATCTGGACTATAACCTATGTGTTGGCACTATGGAGCACTGGTGGCAGCACAGGGAATGATCTGGCATGCAAGGAGCTTGATGGAATTCACTTTAGAAATAAGGAACCACACAGATGGGAATCCAAGAATCCTCATTCATAATCTCAATGGACCCAACCCAGTCGGAGCAAGAGATAACTCACAAAGTTTGGGCTGTAGCAGAGCGTGGCTAGCTGATCAGAGATGTCCACAGTCTGGTTCTCCAGAATGTCCACACGAATCTTCTCTTCTTCTGTCTCCCCACCTATAGTCCACACCAGAGACTCACCCTCAGCTTCTGACCCCAGCCATGCCCAGAGAGGACCATGTTCCCCCACATCCAGCAGCTGGCCCTACTCACACAGGTTGTGCTTGCGGGCGATGTAGCGCAGGATGGCGTTGCTCTGGGTGAGCTTGTGAGTCCCATCAATGAGGTAGGGCAGCTGCATGGACAAGCAGGAAGGGCAGGTGGGATTCTAGGTCCCAGCACCCCTTCTAAGTTATGGCCGCTGTGACACATCCAGTGTGCCTACTCATGGCCAGCCCTGCACACATATAGAAACACAGGGCAGACAACAGGAGAGAGGCTAGCTGAGTTGCAGTACTAGTCCTGAAGCGTCTAAGCAAGAAGAGATGAGGTAGGGATGACTTGAATTTCTCCGCATCACCCCATCCTTTCACCTACATTGGGAAAGTCCAGGCCCAGCTTGAACTTCTCATTCAGCCACTGGCTTCTGTCGTAGTCGGGAGCTGTAGTGCAGAACATGAAGTGAAATCAAACCTCTCATGTGTCCATCTCGCCTTCCCGTGGTACTCTCCCAAAGAGCTGGACAAGAACCCTGAGACAACGGATCTGGGATCTTAGCCAGTCTAACGCAAGGTAAAATGTAAGGGCTTCTATGGGCTGTGGACCCAACAGGACTAGGGCTTACAAAAGGTTCAGAAAAGTCCTAAAGAGGATCCGACCCAATGACAGATAGAGAAGGATGGGCACTCCACTCTTAGTGTGACCAAGAAGAGACTGCTAAGGTAAGCAACAGGTATCCAAGGCATGGGCTTTCAGGTACCAGTCATTCATTAGGACTAGTCAGGGATCTGGGTGGAGGGTGGAGGGCGCCATTACCATCCCCCATGCTGTATCTCTTCTCCTCATAGCTGGTGTCTGTGTATTCCAGGAGCAGGCGGATGGCATGGGCCAGCTGGAACAGATGGCCAATGGCAGAAGTCAGAGACAGAGGACCTGCCTGTGAGCCCCCATCTTCTCCTAACAGTCTCACAGGCAATTGCGTGCTTGCACATCTGCGAGCTCTTGGGCGCAAAGAGGGACAGGCAGAGGCCTCCAGGTAAGTCCGCGGTTTGGTCCGCTTTATCCCGCCCCCAGCTGCGCGGCTTTTGCAGCCCGGCAGCTTCCTCCCACCCAGACAGACCGCTCGCTCACCCCGCGGATGTCCCAGTAGCCCAGCGTCACGGGCATTATGCTGGTGCAGCGGACTGAACCAACTGCCCCCAACAGCACTAGGATATGACTTCACCCCCGTGGTCCACTAGAGATGGGCAAGGCCTGCTCAGCTTCACATCCGGAGTTCAGAGGATCAGCTCCAGTCCAACAGGCCGGAAACAGCGAGGACCCACCCCTTCCGGCCTAGCCACTCACAGAGCTGGCCCAGCCCCGCCCCAACCCGGCCTGGCCACGCCCATACCCGGTCTGGCCACGCCCCGCAAACGCCCCTTCCGGATTCCCGTGCCGCGGGACCCGGAGACCAGATCCAGAGCGTCTAGTGCTTCGCCTCTTTCTCACTTCTGCGGGCCCGACCCCGGCTGTCGAGTTCTTTGGGGTTTGTGGAGGTCCAGGCTGCCAGGTTAAGGCCAGAAGGGGCGTCCCCAGCCAGAGAATGTTAACTCGCGCTTCATCCCTGTAAATCCTACGAGCGAGACGGCCCGCGAGGTGACGTTTGGAGAGGCAGGACCCGCAGGTCGCAGCTCCTGGTGCCCGAGCTCCCGCGCTCCCTTGCAGGAGAGTCATGTAGGTCCCGGCTCAGGAAGCAGTTTGCTCACTGTGAGGCTGTGGTTGCAATTAAGCAAGCAAGCAAGCGCACACACACACACACACACACACACACACACGAGTGTGCTCGGCCCTGTGAATAGCCATGCGCCTGTCACCTAACAACGAGTTAGCCAGTTTCTTCATTGTGCGACCATCAGCGCCTACTTTCACAGACTGAGTTGGTCAGTCTTTTAAGGCTGACGTGCTGATGTCATCCATCAAGAGATGGGACAGACACGAGGTGTGCGCGGCTGCTTCTGCATAAGGTGGCACTGTGTTTTACAGAAAGTTTTTTACATCAGTAGGAAGAGTATAATATAGATATGCCAATAAAGTGTAGGAAATATGTAAACTAGTAATGTAAAGAGTTAGCAGAATTTTGTGCCTTCACTGTGGGAAATTATTTTTTTAAAAATCCTTGTGCTTCCTGTTATCTACGCTAAGAAATGTGTTCTCCCTCTCGGCTCAAGGCTGTTCAACAATAAATAACTGTTTCTTGTCAAGGCAGCAAGCTAAAACAAACTCCCTCCCTGACCATCTCCTGTAAAGTAGTCTGCTTAAGAGGTATCTTGTAAAAATATACACTTACCACTAAGCTGTAAAAGACCCTTTAGTTACAGTTTGCAGCTGTGTCAAATAAATGTAGTTTTCTATTGTTTTGTGCTATATAACAACTTCGCTTACCAAACTGGATGTGATTTCTGTTATAAATACCCCCCTGCTACCTACGACCGGGGGCTGATCAGCCTTCTCCTGCGTGAGAAGTGGCTGATGGACCTGAGCACAGTAAATAAAAGGTTCTATTCAAATTTCTACCTGGCTGATCTGGTTCCTATGCTGAGTGATCCATAACAGTAACAGAGTCATATATTATTAGTATTAAATGTTATGTACTTCACATAATTGTGCTTTGTTTTGTTTTGTTTTTTTTTTTCTGCTTTTGGATTTTGTGAGATGGGTCTCATTTTGTTGCCCGCACTCAACTTGCACTGGTGGGCTCAAGTGATCCTCCTGCCTCAGCCTCCCAAATAGCTGGAACTACAGGCATGACTCGGGTTGATTTATATACCACTTTTATACAGCTGGCAGCAGAATTGGTTTGCCCACACTTCAGCACCACAATTGCATGAGTGATATGTCACACTAGGACATTAGGAGGGTTACAGCACACCAAGGGACAGAAATTCTCTAGCTCGATTATCTGTCAAACCACTTCTGTGTATGTAGTCTTTGATGAAAATGTGATTGATACTTAACATTTCTCGTCATATATTAAGAGCCTGTCATTCTGAGTTTTATATTCTTGATATTGGAAAGAAAAATTCCAAATCCAACTAAGGAAATAATTTTTAAAGGTAACATTAATTAGCATAACTTTGAAAGACATTGGTTACTTCTTCATTGAAAAAGCAGTTGTTTAATTTCCACCACAGATTAGCCACAATAAATAAGGCAGTCCCCTGAAGACTATATTTTGATTGCTAAAAAATAGAAGTAAGAGGGCTGGCAAGATAGCTCAGTGGACTGAGTGCCTGCTTAGGCGAGCGCAAGGACCAGGGTTCGATCCCAGAACCACATGCCATGCCAGCACCAGCCTCAGGTGCGCTAAGCTGTCCACTGAGACCTGGCATGGTGCCCCAGGAGGGGGGCACCACTGAGGAGGCTGAAAACAGGAGGATCACTAGTAGTCCAAGCTAGTGTCGCAAGACCCCATGCCAAATAAATAAAAGATTTTAAAGAAAAATTTAGACAAATCCAAGCAGAGTCTATAAAGAATAAAGAATAATTCATGAATTGAGAATAATTGAAAGCCTTCGCTTTAAGGTTAGGAACAAGACAAGGATGCCCACTGTCACCACTCCTGTTCAATATAGTTCTGGAAACACTAGCCAGAGCAAAGAGACAAGAGAGAGAAATAAAAGGAGTAATGACTGGAAAGGAAGAAGCGAAATTATCATTATTGGAAGATGATGTGATATTCTACTAGAAGACCCCAAAAACTCAACCAAGAATCTTGTAAATTTAAAGTAGCATAGCAGGGGCTGGTGAGATGGCTCAGTGGTCTAAAGCACCTCCTTAGAACAAACTAAGCTAAGCAAAGCACAGGGACCGCGGTTCAATCCCCAGCACCACATGCCAGCCAGCCCCGCCCCCTGGTGGGCTGAGCTGGCCACACACACACTAAATAAATAAATAAATAAATAAAGTTATAAAAAAAATAAATAAAGTAGCATAGCAGAATAAAGGGTCAGTACTCAGAAATCAATAGCATTTCTATACACAACAACCACACTAAGAGAGAAATTAGGGAAACCATGCTTTTCACAATAACACCCTCAAAAATGAAATACTTAGGAATCAATCTCACAAAAGAAGTAAAAGGTTTATACAGTGAAAATTATAGTACTCTGAAAAAAGAGATCAAAAAGAATATCCAAAATGGAAAGATTCTTTGCTCATGAATAGGAAGAGCCAACATTGTGAAAATGGCCATACTCCCCAACTTGTTATTCAGATTCAATGTAATCCTAATTAGGGGCCAGGAAGATGGCTCAGTAGACTAAGCGCTTGCCTGGCAAGTGTAAGGGCCTGAGGTCAATCCCCAGTTCCACCAAAAAAAAAAAAAAAGTAAATAAAAATAAAAAATAAATAAAATGTAATCCCAATTAAAATACTATTAGTATACATCACAGATCTAAAGAAAACATTACTAAAATTCATCTGGAACCAGAAAAGACCTAGAATAGCAAAAGCAATCCTGGGCAACAAAGGAAAGGCAGGAGGCACCACAATCCCTGGCTTGAAATTATACCCCAAAGCTACTGTGATAAAATCAGCATGGTATTGGGAAAAAAAAAAGAATAGACATGAGGATCAATGAACAGATTAGAAGATGTAGACACAACTATAAACACTCAGCCACCTTGACAAAGGGACCAAACATGTTCACTGGAAGAAAGACAGCCTTTTTAATAAACAGTGCTGGAAAAACTGGCTTTCTGCATGCCGAAGGCTAAAAGTAGACCCATACCTATCACCCTGCATAAAACTACAGTCAAATGGATCAAAGATTTAAATATTAAAACGGAAGCACCAAATCTTCTAGAGGAGAAAGTTCATAGAAATCTTAAAGACCTAGGGGTAGGTAGTGAGTTTATGAACAAAAATCAAACTGCACAGAAAATACTTCAAAGAATCAACAATTGGGCTCTCATCTTTTTAAATAGTTTTTTCAAGGGACTGGGGAGATGGCTCGGTGGAATAAGCGCTTCCCTTGCAAGTGCAAGAGCCTGAGTTCAATCCCCGGTTCCACAAAATAAATAAATAAATAAAGTTTCTTCAAAAGAAATCACCGGGGCCGGGGAGATGGCTCAGTGGAATAAGTGCTTCCTGGCAAGCGCAAGGGCCTGAGTTCAATCCCCGGCTCTGCAAAAAAAATAAAATAAAATAATAATAATAATAATAATAATAATTAATAATAATAATCTTACTAAGAGTCCTGGAATAAATACTGGAAGAAGGTTAATAACAAATATAATGTAAATATATGGAAAAGAAATCACCAACAAAATAAAAAGAAAACCCATGAATTGGGACAAAATTATAGTCAACAATCCCTCAGACAAAGGACTTCTATCTTATATGTTCTAACATATAAGAATTTTTTAAAAATCAGGCCTCCAAAATCCAAAGACCCAATTCAAAAATGAATATACACTTCACAAATGAAGAGATACAGGGGCCGGGGAGATGGCTCAGTGGAATAAGCACTTTCCTGGCAAGCACAAGGGCCTGAGTTCAATCCCCGGTTCTGGAAGAAAAAAAAAAAAAAATGAAGAGATACAAATGGCAAATAAGTATATGAAAATGCTCAACATCATTAGTCATTCAAGAGATGCAAATTATAACAATGCTGAGATTCCATCTTATGCTTGAAAGAATAGCTATCATCAAGAAACCAACCGGTAACAGATGCTAGGGAGGCTGTGGGGAAGAAACCCTCCACTGTTGGCGGGAGTGCAGGCTGGACAACTACTATGGAAATCAGTGTGCAGATTCCTCAAAAAGCTAGGACTGGAGTCCCATTCAAGCCAGCTACTCCCCTCCTAGGCATTTTTCCAAAAGAACTGAAATCACCGTACCACAGCGATGTATGTGCACCCGTGTGTACAGCGGCACAATTTGTCATAGCTAAATCTTGGAAACAACCCAAATTCCCATCAACTGAGGAATAGATAAAAGGTGTTGTACTTTGACACAATGGAGTATTACTTGGCTATAAAAAAGATAAATTTGAGGCTTTTGTAGGTAAACGGATGCAACTAGAGACTGTCTTGGTAAGTGAAATAAATCAGGCCCGCATGTGCAGACATCATACTGCCCCACTAGTGTGAGAATCTGAAAGGAACAACAGACTGTGAAAGGGAAAGAATCTATTCAACGGGAAGGAGAAACAGGAAAAGGATGGAAGGAGGGAAAAAGATATGCATATATGCAGGACAGTTTGGATAACTGCACTACTGATTTCTGCTGATCTAGTAAAAGGAGCAGGTGCT